GGGCCGAGAAATCTGAATTCAATTTTGAAAATTGAGAAATATTATCAGAAGTGTATATTCACTGTGTGTAAGTTAAATAATAACTGAAAAAAAGTCCATGTGCAAACACTTCTCAAGTTAAGAAGCAGAGGACTGCTGATACTTGGAAGGCCCTGAAGTGGCTGTGGAAGGTGTGGCCCCACCCCATCACCACTACCTTCAGTTAAAACATTCTCCTTGTGTGACACACTCAGTCCCCAGCCTGGATCCCATAACAATGTGAGTTACAAAAAAAATTTTTTTTTGAGGATCAAACCGAAGCCTTATGCATGTTAGGCCAGCGCTCTATCACTCAGCTACATCCCCTGGCCTGTAATTTATACAAAGAGTCGTACTTACTATAGGGCGCCTTACTTTTGTTACTCTTCACTTTGATTGTAAGGTTCTCCAGGGGGGTTGTGCTAGCCGCCGACCGTGCCTTTCCTCGCCGCGTGGCCCTCACTGTGTGCAGGTAGCATGAGAGCTTCGTTGCTGGTTCCCTGATGATCTCTTCCGGCCCAGTGCTTTCACATGCTTTCTCACCAGCTAATTTTGAACCGTTGGTCAAAACATTGAGAGATGTAAGTGTCTAGCACTGGGGTTCTACAGCCTGAGTTTGAACCTGCTTCTACCACTTAGGGGATGACTGTGTGACCTTGGGCACATATTAATCCCTGGGCCTTGGCTCCCTCATCTATCAAATGGAATAATAGTTCCTTCTTCAGTGTTCTGATAATTCAGTAAAATAATATATGGAAAATGCTTAAAATGACACCTGGCCCCTTGCAAGCTTTCAGTATATCTATTAGCTAATGTTTTTGTTTTTGGCTTTTTGGAGACTGGGTCTTTGTTGCCCAGGTTGGCCTCAAACTCATGATCCTCCTGCCTCTTCAGTGCTGGAATTACACGTATGTGCACCCACGCCCATATTCCAGATGCTCTGCACACAGATGTTTTATGCGGTCAGTGCCATGGTAAGCAGCAGGAGCCTGACCTTCCGACAGGAAGCCTTAGGCTACTTATGCCCAGCCTTGGCCCATGAGAGCCATGCAGACTTTGTCAGCCCTTTGACTTATGTGCTTGTCTGTGGATGGGGGCGGGCCCTACACCTGACCTTCCAAGCAGGGTCCTGAACAGATGTGAGGGTATGGTGCCACCTGTAAAGCAGTGCCCCAATGTACCAAGCTCTCTGTACCACCTTCCTTAGAGATGTTCCTAGCAACTGGGTGCTGTGGCATACACCACATCTACTCAGGAGGTTGAGGCAGGAGGATCACATGTTCAAGGACAGCCTGGAAAACATAGTGCAAGGCCTTGTCTCAAAAAAAAAAAAAAATGGCTGGGACATAGTTCAGTGCTGTTTGGGTTCAATCCCAAGTACTACAAAGAAAAGAAAGAAAGAAAAAGAGAGGGAGAGAAAAAAGAGAGCGAGAAGAAAGAAAGAAAGAAAGAAAGAAAGAAAGAAAGAAAGAAAGAAAGAAAGAGAGAAAAGGAGGGAGGGTAGAGGAATGGAGGGGAGGAGGAAAGGAAGAAAGAGATTGCTGTCAGCACCAGGCCTTCCTGGGAGAACACTGTGACAGTGACTGGGAATCGGAAGAGGCCGCCCATGCTAGAAGGCCAGGTGTAGGAAGAAAAGACAACCACATTTTATTAATATATGCAAATATTTTCAGTCCAAGAAAGGGAACTGGGACTTACATCTTGCTTCATATCTTTCTTTCTTTCTTTTTTTTTTTGAGACAGGGTCTGGCTATGCAGTTCAGGCTGGCCTTGAGCTCACTTTGTAGCCCAGACTGGCCTTGAACTTGCAAAGGTCCTCCTGCCTCAGCCTCCCGAGTGCTGGGTTACAGACGTGCACCCTTGTGCCTGGCTTACTTCATATCTTTCGCATAGTTTGAATTTACCAGGAGCATGTATTACTTTTATGACCTATTAGCGAAACTCAAACTTTGTCCCTGAGCTTTTTTGTCTTCGGCCTCAAGCCCTGGGGTTCAGCTCCAAAGCGACCATGTGGTGACAAACCAGGCTGACCCTTGCTGCCGGGGCAGAGCCCTCTCCAGTGGTCAAGGCAGTCCTCAACATCAGCACCAGGGAGGGCAAAGGACTCCTGTCAGGTGACCTGGGTTTTCATTCTTCCCTGTCACTTAGACGGGGCTGGCACAGCTCTCTGGGGTCCAGTGTCCTCGTCAGTAAATCGAGGGGAGTGATGATCAGACAAGAAGAGGTCCAAGGCCTTTTCCAGCCACCGAGGGGCCAGCCTGGGGACGTCCCTGGCATATTGCATCTCTGACACGCTGCAGGAGGGGCTGGTCTGGTGCAGCTCGTCAGCGGGGCTGGTTGCTGAGGAAGCAGTCAGTGGGCCAGTGGCAGATCAGCCCTGCGGTGGACCTGCTCTCCCCGACATAAGCCCTGTTGGGAATGTTTGCGTGCTTTTCCTTTGAGTGCATGCCAATTAACACTCTCCTTTAGAGGACAGCTCCTTCCAAAACACAACAGGGCCTCAAGGCACTGCATGCTCCAATTACCATGATCGGAGATCACCCCGGCCCAAGCTCCACGAGGGAGGCCTCCAGCCCCGCCCTTCCTTCCCTTCTTCTCTCGGCCTCTCAGCTGGTGTTGTCATCTTCCTGGAGAGCTGGACAGCACAAGGCAAGGCACCATCCAGTCGCCGACGCCATTATTCACACTAGCTGGGCTCAGTGGGATAACGCTGCGCCAGCCAGAGCACCCCCCACTTCCGCTCGGATGGGAACGCGCAGCATCTGGGAAGGCAGCAGCTGCCGCCTGCTACCCGCCCCCCGCAGGGCAGTGAGGTAATCCCCACGCGCCTCGGGGTGAAAGGGGCCCTGTGTGGAGGGAAGAGCCTGATTCTCTGAACTTCCAGGAGCTCTTCACTGACATCCTGGCACCAAGAGGAAATGAACAGCTAACGCAGATTCTGTCTTCCCCACAAAACCATCTTTCATCCCACATTGACCCCAACTGCAGGGAAGATTTCACTATACAGTGGCTGGAGCCAAGAAGCTCTGAGGTCACTGGCCACTCCCACCCGTCTGGGGGACTCCTAAGGTAGCCCAGAAAGCTGGGGAGACAGGAGGTGGAGTCTAACAGTGCAAAGGCTGATCAGCTGAAAACAGCAAGGGGTAACATTCACGTTTGACTGGAGGTGGCCCTGACAGAGCAGGCTGTCAGCTGGGTCGAGGGAGGCTATGCTGAACCACCAGACTCTCGAAGGTGGGACAGTATCTGTGGGAAGGTGGCCCCCAGGAAAAAGGGACAGGTGTCCTCACTGAGCCAACCCGAGCATCAGGCCCTCGGCAATGGTGAGAAGTGGTCAGTCATGTAAGGTAGCAACATCCCCCTCGCCCACCCAACACGCACACCCCAGTGGCCCTGCGCACCTCAGTCTGGTTGTGCTTACCCAGAGCACGACACACAGGAGGATAAAGATGTGGAGAGGATGCTTTTGCTTTCTTTGGTACTGGTAATTGAACCCAGGGCCTTTATACTGAGCTACATCCCTACCCCTTTTAAAATTTTTTTATTGTAAGATAGGGCCTTGCTTAGTTTGTAATTTTCCCAGCCCAGGCTCAAACTTATGCTCCTCCTGCCTCAGCCTCCCACAGTACTTCCTGTCATTTAACTTCTCAGAAGGTCCTGTTCATATTTTCACCTTCACCCAAAGTCTAAATGGTTTTCCAGCCTTATGCCTGTGAAGTGAAAGCAAATCACTTTTGCTTTCAGGACCTTATGCCTGTGAAGTGAAAGCAAATCACTTTTTGCCTGACAGGACCACAGTATCTGGAATGGAGTTTTGCTCTTTCTTGAATTTTAAATTTTTATAACATTAACTATTTTTTAAAAAATTATTTAGGGCTTTGGGTGTGGCTCAGTGGTAGAACGCTTGCTTAGTATTCGTGAGCCCCTAGGTTCAAACCTCTAATTCTCTAGTATACAAGTGACACGGAGCCTGTTCTGCCCAGACATAATCACTACACCAGGTCCATGTCCTTCAAGATCTGGGCAGATCCACACATGCTCTGCTCTGTCCCCAGATTGCTTTCCCACAAGGACAAATCGAGGGGAATGTCACAGAGCTGCATCAAATTTAACTTTTGCAAATTTAACTATTTGTACCTTCCCCTGCCTCCCGAAGTGTAAGAGTGTCCGGATCATTCTGCTGAAGAGCAGTACGCCCCAGAGTAAGTGTGAGCGGGAAAGGTAGTGCACGTTTCAGTTCCCTCATGTGATTCCAGTGTTTAAAGAAACATTTCCTGCAGGTCCCTACACTCAAGGCGAGCACTACATCTGTGACTCAGGGGAAATGGTGACCTGTTCCAATGCTGAGGAGTCCTAGATTATTTTCAGAAACACATACAGTTTCGATACAGCACCTTCCAAGGACTTAGGACCCAACACTAGTAAGAGGATTCTCTATTGGCCAGGTACTATTTGTGGGTTGTCCCCACCCCATTTAGCTTATCTTTAGCTTATCTTGAAAGTTGTCCCAAGTCAGTATATACAAACCTATCTCATTCTTTTAAGCAGAGCAGGACACTTCACAGCATGAAACACATGGCAGGTTCACTGGGAGCAACTCTATTTTTACATCTCAAAGGAAAGAAAAACCTTACCATAAAAAAGACAAACAAGGAACAAATTTACAAAGCAAGAATACAGTATTTTATTTATTTCCAAGTGAGTATTACACAGCATATACACATATTTAGATATATATAAAACAAAGAATAAGTAGAAAGAAATATTGGTCTGAAATTGCCTTACTGGACAATTTAATTCTCTAAGTTCATAGTACAAGTATCTCCCCACACACAGGCAGGAGGCAGGACAAACTCCAGCAGTCACGTATCACTCAAAGCACTGCTTGTCCTCCACTGTACTTACGACGCAGTTACGAAGTTATGGTCACTAGTGTGCATGACAAGCTGACCACAGCACAGTGAAGTAATAAATGTTTTTTGCATTGTTCTCCAGATGGTTTCCTTAAGAGTCACATTCAGGGTCTATCTCTTGAGCTGCATTCCAGTTATTGCTGAAGGAAAAAAATAAAAGAGGCATCAATTTAGATTATTAGAAAAGAGCCACGTGGTGCCACCAGCCCTCTACCTCTGGTGTCACCTGAGTGGACCCTGAGCTTACACGCAGCTGGCAGCAGGAAGACATCCACCAGGGACCGACTGGGTGTTAAAAACGGGACTGGGAAAGGCTCAGATGGCAGCCTGAGAGCAGAAGCAGCAGCACCCCCAGTGAGGGCGGGGGAGGGGAGTGAAGTGCAGGAGTATCCACAGGGGCAGCCTTGACTCAGTCCTGAGGCTGGAAGACCCAATGTCTTATGATGTAAGGCACTCCAAAGGGTCCCCTAGACAGGCCCAGCAGCTGAGCTCAGACACTTTCCAGGACACAGCTCCTCAACTCCCGGCCCCATCTGGCCTCGTCTCAGGAGGGCTGCGCCTCACCTTTGCCTTGTTCTGAACTGGGAGATACAGTTTGAACTCTGCCGGCAGCTCATCTTCTGAGTAGAGCCTGTCTGAGAAGTAAACCCTTCGGATGCGGCAGTTTGCATGGATCTGTGGAGGCAAGACTCCTTTTAGCGGGCTTGACATGACTAGTTTGCTCCTTTCCCCATTTTCCTAGAGGCCCTCTCATGTGCTGTCAAAACTGCATCTCTTTGGCATCTCCTCAGCTCAGCTCAAGGGTGCATTCAAGCAAGAAGGGAATTGTGCTTGGTGTATCCACCCATATCTGAGCAGACTTCTGAATGTTCCTGGGTTTTTTTGAGGCTAAAGCCCCAGGGACAGTGACTTGGGAACTTCAGCCAGAAATCTACATGGGGCCAAAGCCAGCAAAAGACACAGCATACCCTGCTACATCCCCAACACGGAGCCCCACCTGTGGAAGGATCAGTACCTGTACTCTTAGGGTCTCGATGTAATTTGTGCCGTATGCCCGCCGGGTGAAGTCGGATAAGTTGAACTGAATCTGGTTCCAGCCATCATCCAGCCGCATGGGCATGGTACAGATGAAGGGCTTGACACGAGTGGTGCTCTGATAGTTACTTGCCCGAAACCGCCGGCGCACATTCTTGTCGTCTAATACCTGTGACATACGAGAGGAAGAGTCCAGTCAACGCCATTTTGGCAGGATCACACAACCGTATTAAGACAAGAACTTGAATTCCCACAGCTCAGTTTCCCAAGGCTGAAACCAGAGGAAAATAAACAGACCAGATATAGGTCACACACTAGACGAAGATGGCCTGTAAATAACAAGTTTATCTTATTTGTTGCCAAGACAACACCAGCTGCTTATGACATATGACACAGTTGGCAGACTCTCAAACCATAGAATGATTTCATAAACATTGTTCCCTTTGAAAAACCAAAAATAATAAACTAGAGAACAATATCTCAGCATTAAATAATTACTCCCCAAATGCACACCATGTTAACTCTTAAGCTTTGAAATTTTTTAAATAGCTGTTGACTAGATTTTCTACGTGCTTCTTTAATGTTTCTTTAAAAGCCTGGCATGAAATTTTCAATACTAATAGCAAATTTATATCATATTAACAAAGGCTGTATAGGGCTTACAGCAAAGACAGAAAAGAATATACATGAATATTTTTGTATAGCCACTTTGTCCTAAAGTTGGGTAGTTGTATCTTTGATACAAGCCAAGGAAGATATATTAATCTACCCATACTCACCTGTACTTCAAAGGTGAAATATTTCTTCAGGTTTTTGATAATCATGACGAGGAAAGGAAGCTTAATTCCCAATGTCTTCTTAGGGTCTGCAGGACATGTGATATATGTAGTGCTATAGAGAGGAAATACCAATAAACTACTTGTGTTTTTTCCTCTGTGCTATGTATAACAACACACAGTCCAAGAGGAAAAACTGGGAAGCAGTTTTAAAAGATTCATATACTTTGTCTAATGAGTCCATCAACTCTCTAGTCAGTGAATGGTGTAAAAAAATGGACTCAGAAGCCTGATGTGGCAGTGCACACCTGTAATCCCAACATTTGGGAGGCTGAGGCAGGATGATCAAAGCTAACCTTGGGGTACGAGTTCAAGGTCAGCCTGAACTACAAAACAAGACTTGGTCTCAAAAAACAAACAAACAAACAGACAAAGAACTCAAGAATAAAAGCTTGTAACAAGGGACTAGACACCAACAATAAAATATCTGAAAACTAAAATCAGACCAGTGGAACTTAGAAAGTTCATCTAGTCAGAAGATTTCAAATTTGGTCCATGAGAGCAAGGACACCGAAAACCAAAATGAAAACTACACTGGCCGTCCACTGATCAGCACAATAACCCACCCTTATGATGGTTAAATAGTAATATAGCTAGTAGTTACATCATGCTTACTATGTGCTAAGCTTGACTCTACTAAGTGTTTATACAGTCACTTATTTAATCCTCATAATAACCCTGTAAGCAACGTGTAATTATCCCCATTTCACAGATGAGGGAAGTAAGGCCTGAGGGATTAAGTAACTTGCCCAAGGTAAGCTCCAAGTAGCAGAGCTGGATTCACAAGGCAGCCTGACTCTGCAGGCCATGCTGTTACCCTCAATGGCACACTAACTGTGTGTACACCACATATCTGAGAGAACAGAGTTGGCAACCTACCTGACATTTGTCCCTTCAATTTCTAGCACCAGGGACTGGATGTCATTATCAGTGATTCTTTTGATGTGGCCGTTCCGCACCTACAAGGAAGAAAATTAGTTAGTACGAAAAATATTTGGTGACAATTCTGTAAGGATTTTAGAGGCCAAACAGGACCACTTAAAGAAAACCACAGTGGTCTAAAGGGCATAACAGAAGTTTGTGACAGTTTTTAATTTTTATTTAAAGACAGGATCTTGCTATGTAGTCCAGGCTGGCCTTGAACTCCTTCACCTCCTGCGTCAGCGGCCCCATAGCTGGGATTACAGGTATGTGCCGCCACACCTGGCTGAAGCTTACAACAGTATGTTGAAGCCTGTGCATAAGGAAACCATGCTATTTCCTCTATACAGCGCCCCAAGAGCCAACATGGGAATCCCAGGTAAACGGGCAATCTGTCACCAGGATAAATTTCTTTCCAAAGAAATCAACTCAATTTAGATTCAACCAACATTTATTAATATCCACTCTGTATTAGGAATGTTCATACACATGCCCTTACTAAGCTGTCTTAGCAACGACAAAAATCGTAACGTAGGGACTATGCTATCCACTTCACAATGTGCACACTGACATCCAGGGGAGTGCAAACGACAAGTCCTAATTAGAAGACTGAGGGTTACCAGACCTTCCACTGCCCCATACTGGATCATACACAGTGGTACTTCGGTTCATGAACTCAATTCTTTCCACAATACTGGTCTCAAACTGAACTGGATGAGACATGAATCAAATTTCCCCATAAGGTCAGCACTGAACCTAATCATTGAATTTGATTAGGTTCTTGTCCAACTCATTTTGCAACCAGAAGGGCAGAAAGAATCAAGTTCATGAACTGAAGAACCACTGTACTTCTGTGGCAGAAAGGTCAAGGAAATGCTAACTGTCACTAACACAGAGAGTGGCAACCAAAGAGTCAGAGTGGGGTTTGCTCCTACTTCACGCTTCCTTATCTTCTTTTCCTGAGTTTATGCTTTTTCAAACACAAATCCAAGTCCCATCTACACCACACAAAGACACCTTCCTTAGCCCACAGCGACACCTCTTTTCTCTGATTGGTTTTCCTGGTTCATGTTGTCCAGACTACATAGTTTAGTAGCATTTCACAGGACATTTACTGAATTGTTTGCTGCATATACACAATGAGGTACATGTTAAGGAGAATCCATATCGGGTTTTTTTTGTCTTTTTTGTCTTTTTGAGACAGGGTCTCTATAGGCAGCTCAGGCTGGCCTTGAGCTCACTTTGTAGCCCAGGCTGGTCTCAAACTCGCAACAATCCTCCTGCCTCAGCCTCATGAGTGCTGGGATTACAGGCGTGTGCCACCTCGCCTGGCTGAGAATCCATATTGAATATGTATTTGTTCTCTCAAAATATTTAAAATTATCTTCAAGCATTTAACTCTTAAGTACCTAATATGGACAAAGCAAAGACACCCCAAAGCACTTCTGAGACAAAGTTGAATGTACTAACACATGCAAAGATCAACAATCTGGGTGGCTGGCTTACTTATTCAATTTTATTTATAAGGGTAGGAAACGTTCATTGGGGAATAGGAATAGCTTCTGAGAGGCAGGAGGGGTAATTTGTCAGGGGTAATCTACACAGCAAAGTTACAATGTGGGTACAACATGAGTCAAACTATAATCAACCTATAGGATTAAAGGTATAGTGGCTTAGCTAATATTGATCCAACAGGGAAGCAGGGCACAAAGCAAGGGCAGATGGCCGACATCATTAACCTGGGCTTCTCCATGACTTCTAAAACAGGAACACTTTGGGGAAGGGATTGGACCAGGTGTCTGATGCGTATCTGGACTTAATGGACTAGATGGTAGCAATTATAGTATAATCTCAAATTTCCATTCATCCCATAGGCAAGTCTGGTTACTGTGACTTAACCTTGAGGTCTTGCCTTCTTCAGATGCTCCTCTAGCCACAGTTTTGGTGTGTCCTCATCTTCTGCACTGACTTCCTCGAAGGCCCATCCCTGTCTGACTGCCTATTAATTTCTACCTAACTTAGCTGCCTGTCATATTCTTCCCCCATGAAGGGGTATCCCTAGCTGCAGTTAGGGGAGAATGCGTGAAGTTTCAATCTAGTTGCTTTAAGCTGAGTAGGGTCGGTGTAGAGAAGACTGCAGTTGGGGGCCTTCTCCAGAGAGCTAATAGAAAGGGCCTTGTTTAGAAGTTATGTTGGGGTTTAACAGTTATGAACTTGCTTTACAAGGTCTATGCAGTGGATCCTGGTATAAAGAGTCTGGCACATTTACTGTAGTTCCACCTGTATGGTCACTTACAGTTGGGCACCCACTAGGTGAGAATAAATGAATTTTCCCAAGAGATTAAAGCATGTACAATCACAGCACGAGCAGTCGAATGGAAAGGCAGGCTGAGGAAAGAGTCATGCCTAGATACTGCTCTTAAAGGACTGGAACACCAATTGTAACCAGCTGGCCCCTAGAGCTCTCTACTGATGGAGGGTATCTAGACGCCTGGTATTTCTTTTAAGATTTTTTCTTCACCAGATCTGAATTACTAAAGACAACAAATTTCATTTATTAGAGCCTAAGTCCCTCTGGTCTTAGATGTAAGACGATGGAGAGTTGGGTGGTTTTGAAGGACAATTTTAGCTAAGGAACTTACAGACTGTTGCTGAACTTTTATAGCTGTTACTGCGGCTTTTTAGCCTCACTGAACCACAATAATGGTTAATTACAGGTGTAACTGGAAAGTGCAGTGATTAGAACCACCATCTAACCTTTATTATTACAGTATTATTTTTATACATCTTTGGTTATGTAATACTTTTCTGCTGGGTGTTTAAGACTGAGTTTAAGTGAGACCTGTGTTAATCAAAATTAACCTCTTGCTATATATCAAGGTCAGTTAAGTCTCCTCAGTCATTACTTTTGGAACCATGTACACAGCCTCTCACTTCCTGTCCTTGTCAGCTGCTAGAATAGGTCACCGTCTTGCCTGACCATGTAGCTTTCTGTAAAAGTATGGGGAGACTTCTCTCTGTGGTGACCCTCCTTTTAGGCACACTGTTATTGGTGGAATGTAGGCCCAGAAATCTCTCTGCTTGGGAGGTTGGGAGACTCACTGGAATTGTAGGATCTTGTGAAAAGTTCCCTTTATGTCCTGGGTCCTTGATGATCTTGGAGGCCAAGGTCAAAATACTGATTGTCCTCTTAGCCCAATTATCTTTCTAGTTCTGGTCTCCAAATCTCAGTTGTTGAACACCCAGAAGATTGTCACCCAGGTTTAAAATAATACACCTGAAAAACAAACATTTGGTCTTTCTCAAAGTACTGTGAAAATGCCTATGTTGGGCTGTCCCCTTGTTCACTAATCAGCTGATTGAAATTCTGCTTTGCATATAGAAATAGAACACAGTATTGACCCTGATAGCTGTATTTTTCCACATAGATTATTAATAATATGGCATTCTGTCTTAGACAGTAGTCCCTATGAGCTGTTACTGAGTTTGGCCCATGTGTGATGCGCCTGGCGTATCCCAGGTGACATCCACAATCACTGTCCACCTTTTCCTGCAGCTGGGACTGAGTCTCTCCTTGAGAAACTACAAAGCTCAAGCAAGAGTAGGGATCAAGCATTAAGGATCATTTCTACCTTCTACAACGCTTAGTACTGTCCTAAGCATAAACTAAGCATTCAAATATGTGCTGACTTCTGGAATCTGTCACCCTAAGAGTTGGCACAAATGAATAGATTCAAGGGGTATTAAACACTCTTGAGTAACATGTCCACCACAGACTATTACAGAAAGCTGGAGACCCTGGGGAATGTCATGAAGCCCTTAAGGCTGCCAGTGTGAGGAATGCCTTCCCACAAAACACCCTTTGGTGCCATTGTCAGAGGTGGAATGCTGGGCTAGTTGGGCCCCCATCTCTGCCAATCTAGCATTTCTTGGGTTCTCAAGACACAAACATCACATTGAAATGATTCTCAAACAAAGCTGGCAACATTCAGTGCCCTCCTGCTTTGAATTCTGGGCCTCGTTCCAAGGGAGATTAAGAGCACAAAGGCTCTGGTCTGTGCAGAACATGCCAACACTGCCCACCTCGTTCCCCATGTAAACGCTCCAACCAAAGTGGCAGATAGTCCTCCTGTACTTTCTGTGGAAAATCATGCACACTTGTTGGTGAAAGAGGAATTAATCAAGAAATTATTTCCAAATAATGTGTTACAGGGCCAATGACAAGAGCTGGTAGTATTCCAGTAAGATGTAAACACTAATTATTTTAGATAACATTCTTTCTTTTAAAGGTGCATGCTGCAAGATCAAACATATAGTTATATTAAAATCAGGAAGTAATCAGGAGGGTAAGGTTGTAATGGAGACATAGAGCATTTGCTTAATGTGTGAGGCCCTGGCTTCAGTCCTCAGCCCCCTGCCCCCACTAAAGTTATTCGAACCTGACAACCTGTCACTCTTTATCCAACACTGTTTTTAAAAAATGGCCTCAAATCGCCAGGCACAGTGACACACACAAGGTGATCTAAGCACTCAGGAGGCTGAGATAGGAGGATTGCTGTGACTACTAGGCCAGCCTGAACTACACAGCAAGACTCTATCTCAAAAAACAAACAAGCAAACAAAGAATGGACTTAAACCTAACACCCCCAAAGAACTCAGGCCAGATCTCACCGAGAGGAAATGTTAGGGAATTTGCCTTCTGCCTGTTTCCAGGTTTATAGCGGAAGACTTCACTGGAACACTCCAGTAAATCTGACCTACTTAGGTCTTTACAGACAAAAGCCATGCCTTGCACTGCTCATAGAGGCCAATAGGTGAAGCCTGAATAGACTGTACCACTCCTATGCTCTGGCCCACCAAGAAGACACAGAAGACTCAGTAACTTCCCAAAGAGGCTTCTTTTAGCAGTACTAGGTAACAATCACACTCATAAATTTAACTCATACAGAATAAATTAATGTATACTAAAGAATAAGGCACCATGGAGGAGAAATGACAGTTTTATTTTTTTTTAAAGGAATATCCATCAATCTCGTCT